GACAACAGGCTGAAAGCCATGGGACTTTTCAGCCTGGAAAAACACAGGCTCAGGGGTGACCTGATGGCCACCTATAACTTTATAAGGGGTGTTCACCAGGGCCTGGGGAAATGTTGTTCACCAGAGCGCCCCAAGGGATTACAAGGTTGAATGGTTATAAACTCCTGCAAGACCATTTCAGAATGGACATAAGGAAGAACTTCTTTACTGTCCAATTCCCCAGGGTCTGGAATGGCCTGCCGCCGGAGGTGGTTCAAGCACCTACTTTGAACACTTTCAAGAGAAATCTGGATGTTTTTCTTGCTGGGATCCTATGACCGCAGCTGATTTCCTGCCCCTGGGGCAGGGGGCTGAACTCAATGATCTTCTGAGGTCCCTTCCAGCCCTAATGTCTATGAAATCTATGAAATCCATTCACCTCCAACCCATGGTGGGTCATTCCAGCCTACAGCCAAACAAAGATGCCTCTCTTGGCTTAGTGAAGTTCTAGAATCTCCTTCATTTGAAATTATTAAGAGTTTGAGTAGCCATTGGTCAGGCATGAACTAGGAGTGGGTATGCCTGCAGTATGCTGTAAAGAGTTGGAAGCCCAGAAGCCTCCTACACATGGATCACTGGGGGATCCTGAGAAGAGCTCTTCAGCCCACAGCAGGTGGATATGGGAGAGGACCATGTTCAGCAGCTGGAGACTGAACTAGAACTCCATGACTAGTTTAGGAACAAAAGGAGATTAAAGGTTCTGGGTAAGTTTATGGAGGAAAGAATGACAGAACGGGTGTTCTGGCTCTCCAGTTGGGGAGTGTTATGAAAGTAGGGATTTGTTTGCTGTAACCAGGTTACAGAGTAGAGCAAAGGGTGTTTTGCCCTCCATGCCTCTGATATTTTCTGAGTGCCATATGGGGCTTGGAAGGAATGTTTTCCCTCCTGTTGCTGCAGGTGTCAGGAGTATTTTTAACCTCGCTCAGAAGCATTAGGTGTTGGCTGCAGCCAAAGCTGGGGGTCTTGACTAGAGTGTCACAAAGCTGGGGATTTTGACTAGAGTGTTAAAATCCCCAGTCAAAATGCTTCTGCTGGATTTAAAACCTGGAGGCTCCTTTTAGGACAAGAGCGGAGACAAACAAGAGCTGGGCAGGGATCCAGGCAAGAGTGAATTATGGGTTCAGGCTGGGCAGGGTGCATGTACAAACTAAGCATAGGCAAGGCACAGGTCTAAGCAAGGCACAGATGCAAGCAGGAATGTAGGCAAAGATCAAAGCAAGCTTTAGGCTAGATAATGTTCTGATGGGATCAGCTGACAAACAAGTAAGCAGGGTTCCAGGCAGGTCAAGAGACACAACCAGATTGTCTGCTGCTCAGGTGGAGCTCTGCTATCTGGCTTGAGTTTATGAAGGCCTGCGTGGGCAGGCTCTTCTCCTGAGGGCCCTGGGGATGACAGAGCCAGCACCCTGATTACCTCCATCTGGGACCTGGAACTGGATCAGTCACAGCGAGGGCTTGACTTTTTACAGTTTCTGGTTATAGGGTCTTGCCTCCCTACCCAAGGTCAGACCAATTACATTGGGAATCAGGAAGGAATTTTACCCTACAGTGAGATCGGTATGGATTGTGGAGTTTTATTGCCTTCCTCTTTGGGGGGAGGGAAGAAGGGGGTTATGTTCCTCTTTCTTGGATCTCTCAAGTGTATTTTAAGAACCCTTGTATCAGTGGTACATTAAGTTGTATTCAGCAAAGAGCAATGATACAATTATACCTTTCAAAATAATGAGCAAGCTTGTCAAGCACTAACGTACAATAGAGCTCACAAACCTTAATAATGGTAATGGCTACTACCCTGGGCCTAATTCTCATATGGGTGTAGTCCCAGATTTACAAGACATTTAGATAGGTGCTTAGTGGGATTTTCAGAATGCCCTACTCTATTGAATTCCATATGAATTCCTACTAGGTACTTATATGAATCTTTAGGCACCTAAATTCGTCAAAAAATCTATTCTCAGTCCCCACAGCCCAGTCCTGAGTTTTGTTCAAATTCTGCTCCTATATAACTACCTAGCAGTTTAGATTTTCACAGGTCATTAGATTTTTTAATCTCTGAGCTATATTAATTTACAAGTAGCAGCCAGATTTGGTCATATGCTATCTATTTTAACTACCACCTCTAACAAGCAACAACTCAGGCAATCCAAACAAACTGAATATCAAACCCTGGCAATAAAAACGCTGCCTTGTACACACAATTCTTACTGTGAAGAGGTGAGAGAATGGATCACTGAGAGCAGAGAGTACCCCCAGCATTGAGTGCACTACAGAAGCTGATCAGATACTACCATGATAAGGGGCTGATGGAAATCGTCATAGTACAGAACAGAGAGATGGAGAGACAGGAGTTTCCAGTTAGAATTATTGTTTCCCTTGTCCCTCCTGTCTCATGTGCTAACAATTATGTGCATTCCTGGTGCTCTGTTTATTTGTGAAAAAGTGTACTGTCTCCTCAAGCGCTGAGTGGATCCCGATGTATTTTATCAAGTGCTGCTTTACTTAGGCCAGGGCTGTCCAGTTGCTAAGAGGCCAGGGGCCACATGCCTATAGACCATACCAGTGCAAGCCACGGACCCCACTGTGGGTGCCCCCCACCACTGCATCATGCCCTCCATCACTGCTGCACCTAATGCCTGCACTCCCTGCAAACAACCCCTGCACCATGTGCACACCCTCTACCCCCATTTCTGTATCATGCACCTGTGCAGCCATCAGTTGAACAGCTCTGACTTAGATAAAGATATATGCAGGCAAATTTGCACCTCCAGATAGGACCAGCTTGTTGAATTGTCATTTGTTCCAAAACTGCTTCTGAACAGAAGATAAGGGTAGAGTAGTAGTAGAGCAATAGAGTAACCAAGAAGTAAAGCAATGATCTGGGAGTTCTACTTCAGGCCACAAAGCACCCAGATAAACAGAGTCCTTTACACTAGGAATTCCCAAAGCCTTATCACTAAAGGGCCATTTCAAAGGGCAGTCCCTGGCAGCAGGCCACATCAAAGGGGCTCACAGGCCACGTTTTGAGATCCCCTGCTATAAATCATAATCCTCAGTAGTGGAGAGTATTACAAAAACCACTGCAACCTTTGTGCAGGCACAGCATGTGTCCTTCACCTGTTGACCCATGTAAGATAACGACTACAGGGCTCCTGTCTCCTCCACGGTGTTGCTATCATGAAGCAGTCCTTTTCTTTCCTGAGCTTGATACTGAGGTGCTGACCAAATCCTGAAGGTTCGGAGTGCATTAAACTCCTTTTAACTTCAGAGTGCATTAAACTCCTTTTAACTTCAATGGGAGCTGAGAATGCTTATTCCTTCCAGAAGTTCCAGCACCTTGAGGAATGAGCCTTCTGAGCACAAGGCTGGGAATACCCCCAAACTCAGTACAGGAGAAAAATTATATGAGTTGGCAACCATTTCCTCCCACAAAAGGCAGGGCACAATCTAACCTAACAGTTGTGAGCTGTGCTTGTGGCTGCTTAGGTGCCACATAATTAAACCTTAATAAAATAGATAAACCACCTCTAGATGCAAATATTTGCTATTGGACATTATTGCACATGAAAGGATGGAAAGGTTGACTGGTTTGCTGATGACTAGTCTTGCATGCTGAATGACAGCCTTAAATAAAAACCAGCTTGTAAATGAGTATTAATTTAAAGCACAGTCAATTAACACAGAATAAACAGACTAGTAGCTAAGTTGCCAGCCTGGGTAAGATTTCTACCTTAGGTTGAGGAGTTTTTGTCTACCCTTGTGGATGCCCCTGCAAAACACATCCGTGACTCAGAGAGAAAACTCTGAGGTAAAAAAGATTATCCCTCAAAAAACATTACTTTTAAATATTTAAAAGGAAAATCTAAAAAAAAATTGCTGTAGAGAAACAACTGTGTATGAAAAGTGTATACAATATATCTGTTACACTGATATCTGGTCTCAATTTTTCTTTACCTTTTTGGCAAAGATATGTCTAACACTTTATACAATACATATAGGGATCCTACCATTGGAAGAGGATGATATTTCTACCTATTAGGATCCTATTTGAAGTTAAAGTAACTATTTAGCAGATCACTGGTGTTTCACTGTGTAACTATTTAACAATATACCACCTCAATACCTGTATAAGTTTTCCATGGTGTACATACATTTATTTCTTTTGATGCAGTGCAATTCATACCCTGTACCCTGTTTATCACACTTTGGACCACATTTGCTAGGAATAAACTAGGGAAAGATTATGATAAAGTCACAGGCAATGAAGATGTTGAGTACTAATCTAACAGGTGTTCCCACTCCCTGTGTCCTTTGTATACGCATATTCAAATCACACAAGGCTAGCGGCAGGATAGGGTCTGTTAACTCACTGCTGATTTCCCTAGCAAATAAGCCAGCAGCTGCTGGACCAAGCACTGGCTTAGCCCAGAGAAGAAGGTGTTATTTGTATGGGACACGATGCTTTCATGGAGCCCTTTAGCAACTCATTTTGTGAGTTACAGTGCAAAATATATTTTCTGCTTTTAGGTAAGAGAGGTGATGTAGTATTATGCCTGTTTGTTTTCACCGGGAACAAGTGATTTATTGATATGTAGACAAGGTTCTTTGGATATGTATATTTTTAAATGTTAAAGATTTTTTTTTAATTGTTGCATCATTTTAAAAAAAAGGTCAGCCTACATGAGTTTAACCTAGTAGTATGCTTTTTCAGTAGGAAAGCAGAAAGTTTGTCAGCTATTGTACAATACTTATTATATATGATTTTTTAAGTAAAACATCATCATTGAATGTGTTATATGTTTGTAATGTTTAGCCTGACAGTTGTTGTTGTTTATCCAAAACTATCTTCTGAAAGTGAATTTAGTTTGTTTGACAGTATAGTATTATCTTTCAGTTTCCCAAAATAATGTTTGGTTGTAAAGATGCAAAAGTAATAAGGTACTATTTAAACAAGTTGTTTTGGTATACAATCTTGATAAGGGTATCCTTAAAGAAAAATATAATTTTCGTGCCCAGGTTACTTGAGGAAAATAATTTACAAAAAAACCAAATGGTTCAAGGAAATAATCTCATTTTGGCACTGCTACAATTACTGGGTGAAAGGACAAGTTTAATCTGGCTAGGCTTTTTTTAATGATCACTATCATTATGATTTTATATTTTGAAAAGAAGAAGAACACAGATTTTATAAAAGTTTAAGTTTTGAACTAACTCCTACCACAGACTCTGACCTGGTCATTTAATAGAGCAGAGACTGCTTTCCTGCTCATAATACGTTCTTCTTGGTACGCAGGGTACTTAGGTGCCACTATTATAAGCATACATTTGTCATCCATGTATTTGACAGAAAAGATGCCCCAGGTACTTTTCTAGAAAGCTGCTGCAATGTTAGATACAATTCTTTTTTTACCTCTCTAATGTTATTTCTAAAACTTTTTAGAATCAAGGTTTGTTTTATTTAGTTATTTATGTAAGGAATCTGTAACATTGTAAATGTATCTTTCTATAACATAAATTTAAGTGATATTGGCTTTACATTTCTTTCCTCTGCTTGAAGAACTTAATTTACTGTAAATTATTTTACTAAATTTGGAGTTCAGTCCTTTGTGAAGGGGAATTTTATCTGATATTTGCAGTTTTACATCAGTAGAGCTTGCAATTCCCAAAAAAAATACATTAATAAGGATTTTTAGTAACACTGAATATTTTCAATTAATTAAAAAAAACAAATACTTCTTGTCTGCTATATGTGTATAACATTTTTGTTGAAGTTTTCACTAAAGCCCTATAGTAAGTCTAATGTTATTTCTGTATTTGGTTTCAAAATCATTATATTTAAATGCTAAGATATACATGAAGAAGTCATGCCAACATACACTTTCAGATACAGACCTTTATAAACTTTTTCATGTGTGAATTGCTTTCTATTACTGTAACACTCTAATTTTGTGATCAAAGGCGTGGTCCAAATCCCACTAAAGTCAATAAAAGTCTTTCCATTACCTTCAATGTGCTTTTGTCAGATGTACATATAAAGCAAACATCTACAGAAATGTTGTTCCATTAAGGATAGCAAAACTTGGGCCTCTGGACAAAGTAGATAAGCAATATGTCTGAACTCTAGGACTTATAAAAACTATGGTGCTTTCCCCCTTGTGTAGGCATTTACATCTGTGAAAAAAGTAGTGTCAAATATCACCATTCTGATTTTTGCCCACCTTTGTACAGGATGCTAAACAGTTGAGAATAGAATCCTATTTTTTCTAGGATAATAAAAAGGATGTGTGCTTTAAACTTCAGGGAGTAATGAAACCTCACTAAGCAGGTTTCAGTTTATTCAGTAAACACAAAATATGATGTCATAGTTTTTATTTAAACTAAAGCGGCAGACTTTGTTTAATATAAATAGTAGCTCTGTTGTGCTTGCTAATACTCAGAAGAGTGATATGGAAGCAAAACATAGATCACTTTGAGTTCCAGATGGAGGTCACTTTGGTAAAACCCAGAAAGTTTATAGTCAATATAGAAAAACTAGCTTACTAGAGTCTATGTAGCTGGCAAGAAATTTAGCAAGTTATACATAGACGTATGTTTAGATTTTGATTATTCTTAATTACTGCATGAGATAACATGATGTGAAAAAGGGAATTTCCTGAACAATTGTCTTTAAAATTGATTTAATTATATATTCTGAGAGGTTCATGTAAGTATCTTGACATCTATATACTTAATGGGGTGAAACTAAATTAAACCTAGTGGTCTCTAGTTTTATTTTTCATTTTGAAAAATGGTTGATTAAGTTAGGCTTGCAAGTGCATGTTTAGGTATGTATAAAACAAGTAGCCTGATTTTTTTAAATGCTGAATACTAAGCATTCCTATCAACTCTTATGGGATATATAGGACACTCAGCATTTTGGAACTCAGGCAACTTAATGTAAATGTGAATTTAGAAGCCTAATTTTAGGCATCCTTTTCATTTTATTAAAATTTGACCAAGTTTACATTGGTAGGGACTGTAACTCCTATCCTAGATGTACCTGAAGTAACATGTGTATATATGAAAGTTTCAGAAAATAACAGCAGCTGCAAAAGAAAACCACTTTGTGTGTAATGATCATTTACTGGGCCACATTGCTTCCCTACATAGTCATAAAGAATGGGCGTCTGATGCTGCCATCATCAGTGTTCCCTGCTGCTATAAATTTTCCCCATTATGTCACAGACATATAGCATGGGTTACTGTTTAGCTGTTATATTCTGAAACACCTCACACTTTATGTATTTCATCAATAAAATATCCTACTGGGTTACTGCCACTATTATTGTGAACAGTAGTATATTATCCTGTGATTCACTTATTGTTGACATGGATAAAATGTTAGGGACTCAAGTCCAGTTGGCTTTTAACAGAATTTAAGTTCCTGGGTTACTCATACGCTTCTGAAAACTTTCCAGGATAGTGTTAACCAAAACATCAGACAAAATTGGTCTTGAAACCATATTTCACATGATATTTGCTTGCTGGCAATATTATTAAGAATTAAGTGAAGGTCTACTCCATTAACTTGAGTTCATCGTAGCATTTAATTGCTTTTTCAATATAAGTGATTCTGTTAGAAGTTTAAATGTTTGGACTTGCCTTCATCAAAACTCTGATGAAGACTTTTATTCAGGCACCCAAAGTCAACCAACATTACTCTTAAAAAATTAATTTTAAAAAAAAACTCCCTTATCTAAAAACAACTTCTCCAATACTCACTTCCCTATGCCCATAGAGATGTTCCCACACATTGATTAAACCTGATCATATCATCAGAGCACGATCTGAGAAAACAGGGAAGTTTGCATTGAGCCTGTTAAAGCCCCACCCCAACAGACTACTGCCCTGCAGCTCATTGTCCTGAAGGGGGAAATAATGTTACTTCCTTTATCTCTCCTGTTCTGTGCTCAACTGGCTCTAAATGTTCCCAGACAGTAATATTTAGATCCATTTTTCTCCACAAATTACTATGGACATGTTAGATATGGCTTTTAACCTCTCAATTTATCTTTGTTTCATTGGTGGTGGTCCTGGTGTGACAAAACCAAGTGTTTTTTCTTTGCTCTACATTAAAGAAACTTTGTGGCTTAGTTGTGTTAGTGGTCTCTGCACTGATGCTCCTTTTCTAGGCATTAATTCATCCCTTACATATTACTTTTAACTATGGTCATACCTTTGAAGTTCAAGCTTGCCCTTTTTCCTATTTTCTGCCAGATACCCATTGGAAAAAATATTTATAGCAGATGCTATTTTTTATAGATGCTACCATGCTGATATACCTTATTATTAGTCTCTGAAAGCTAGAGAAGCTCATATATTAGCTGAGATAATAACAAAGGATGATGGGTTATATTGTCCGGTCCTTACCTATTCGTTTTCAGATTTTCACCATGGTGGGGAGGGTGTTGTTTTTGAGACTAAGCTTGTTGTAAAAGGAATTTGATGTTAGTAGTATTAGCTGGACTTTTTCGAAATACCTCCATCCTTATGTATTTCATGAAATAATTTGTTTAGGAATTGTTATTTTACTTACTCTACAGAGCACCAAGATTAAACAGCAACAACACAATCTTCCAATGCCTCTTTTGATTCTTGCTAAACTTCTGAAAAACATTCTACCCCAGGAATAGACATATACTTAGTTTCAGGAAAAATGAAGTAGTTTTCAAATAAAACTTGGTACAACTCCAGTAAAATCACTAGCTGTCTTTCCATGGGAGCAGGGTCAGCACTATTAGAAAGAAGTTTAATTATGGCAATAATTTCTCCATGAGAATTTCCATTTAGAATGTGCTGTTTCCAGTTTTACCTACTTTCTGCTTGTATGCAGGTATTTGTTCTGCACTGAAGTTGACAGTACCCTCACATACTATCCAGGGCATTGAGGGGAAGCCACTCAATCTTGCTGTTGACTACAATTTCAACATCACAGCTTCAGAAATCCAAATAATATGGCTGTTCGAAGGACCTCCAACTACGCTTAAATATTTACTTAGCTCTGTAAATCAGTCAGTAGTTCCAGATTTGGAATATCAGCAAAAGTTTACCCTCATACCACCAAATGCATCTTTGATGATCAATCCTCTACATATTAGCGATGAAGGCAATTACATTGTGAAAGTCAATGTTCGCGGAAATGAGACAATAGCAGCCAGTCAAAAAATTCAAGTAGCTGTTGATGGTAAGTAAATAAAATACTGTTTTCCCCCCATGTTGCAAACAAAACTGCAAAATTAGTGAAGAACTATTCACCTGGAATCCCCTACAGGTTTATATAATTCAATCTGACTGTGCATGGACAAATCAACTGACAGAGAAGTCATGTTATGTTATTTTCTAGAACTGTAGGGGTTAAGCATGACAACAGTTTATTACTAAACAAACTTAAAGTACTGATTGTTACCTTATTCATCTTAAGTAAATCTAACTGGGTTTGTATAGATACCGTATCACTAATGTGAAATTGGATGAACCACAGTGATCTTAGGAAGTGATCTGTTTTCATACAGCTTGATTCTGCCACCCTTATTTGCCTTGAGGCTGCAATAACTTTAACATAATACTTTTTTCTTCTCGTTGGGACCCCCTCTTTGAGGTGAATTTTAGAGGCAGATGTCTATTCAGGATTCTATACTGCAAAGGAGCTAGAGATTAGGTCCGTATAACCTGAAAGCCATCTTTGAAGACAAACCTTGAAGAGCAAAATATGGCTCTAAGTGTAGGGCCTTGTGTGAGCTAGGCTTCCTTTCTCCTACCTATCAATAGGTACAAAAAGATATGGGTCTATTCTCCTTATAGTGCTAGTACTAGTAGCTACTAGTTTTAGTAGCTTCCATTAATGTCAGTGAAAGTTATTTATATATATGGAAAAAACATGTGTATATCTGATTATTCCTTTTTTCCCCAAGAGAAAATAACACAAACCTGTCTTGATCTGACTGGAGGTGATGAACAGTCCCAGAATGAGGGGTGGGAGTAAGTAAAAGAGCACTAAAGAGGGCACCTCTTGCAAGGGTCTCTTCACCAACTGGTCAGTAAGATGGTCATGGGAGATTGGCTCTTCATCTCCTCTTCATTAATTTAGATTTTGATCTGGGTATCTGGAATCTGGCTTTTTGTGATTGCCAAAGGGCCAGCTTCCAGACTAAAAAGGGAACCCGGTAAACCCTTTTATTTACAGGAGAGGGGGAGATCTGAAGTCTTTGCATACCATAATCCCCCTTGTGGTACCTTCTGTTCCTGTCATAGTGTAAAGGGGGAAGCATTCACGAGCGTGAGTTGAATCCTATTGGTAGGCTGAGGATGGGCTATCCCAAGTTATGGGTGACAAGGTGGGAGCCCTCTTAAATGTCTAAGCTTAATAAAGTTGTGACTTGTTGCTTAAAACCATCCCTGTGACTGCTATTACTTGCATGTCCTAATCAAAAACATATTTGCCCTCCAATCTTTATGTCATATTCTCAGTTAATATAAATCTTCCTAGCTCTATTACCATGACTGAAAATATGTCTGCTGGCACCAGGTGATGTTTTGAACTTTTAAGAATGTAAAAACTGAAGTGTAAACACTTTCTAAAAAAAGGTAAATGTCATTTCTATCACCTGGGCAGTAAAGGAGATCTACTGATATTCTAAATGGCAACTCTTGTTTATAACCCTTCATGTCTCTATCTTACAGTTCCTGTCACAGAGCCAATTGTACATACCCAACCTTCTTCAGGGGCAGTGGAGTATGTGGGGAACATTACACTAACATGTACTGTGAGAAAAGGGACAAGGGTAGCTTACCAGTGGATGAAAAATGGGAAACCTATCCATGCCAGCCCTAGTTACACCTTTTCCTCAAACAATGACACACTTTTGATTGTTCCCGTTGTGAAAGAAGACATTGGAAATTACAGTTGTTTGGCAACCAACCCTGTCAGTGTGATGGAAAGTGAGATAATTACACCAATTATATATTGTGAGTATATTAAATATTCATGAATACTTTTGTCTAACTGAGCTTTCTAGAGAGACAACTGCTAACTGCAGAATAGGAAGAAAGCACTTAATTTGTGTTTATATGATGGTTTCTCAAAGCAGACTAGACTAATAAGCCAGCTGCACTGCTCCATAATAATTTAATAAAGAACATAGTAAACTTTATGGAGCTGTTAAAGATTAGCTTCAGCTGAAGAATTCAGGTCTGAATTTCAAACACCTCATAATGAAAAGGCCATCAAACTTGGGCAGGGTGGGTACCAGTAGAATAATTGTGCAGTACATGAGGAACTGGATAAAAGGGAGGAATCAATGAGTAGTGCTAAAAAGAGAAATATAAGGCTGGAAGGAATTAATTAAAGGAATTTCTCCAGGATAGGTCTCAGGACTGATCTTGCTTATTATTTGTATTAGTCACCTTAGCACAAGAAGTGGATATGTTCTTAAGAAACTGGCCAAGAATACCAAGTTAGGAGGTATCATCAACATGAAGGAGGATCAGGATGCTGTACAGAAATAACTGAATAACCTTGCAGACTGGAGCAATACAAATGGCATGAAATTCACCACTACAAGATGTAAGGTTATGCAGTTAGGGCATAAGATGTAAGGTTATGCAGTTAGGACATAATACCAAGAATTTCTGCTATAAGATACTTACCAGTTTGAAAAGACTGAGGAGGAAGGACCTAGGTGTGCTACTTGATTACCTGATGGCTGTGAACCACCAGTGTGTTGCAGCCATGAAAAAGGTAAATGCAATCCTAGGATAAAGGCCTAGATTAGAATATGAAAAAAATGATGACGATGTTAAGCAGATTATGCAGTTCATTGGATAATGGCAAAGCCTTAACTGATAAAGGACACTGATATGAAAGCAGTAATCTGCTTAAAATAAACCGAACAATTTGTCTAAATTGCCTCCAAGTCAGTACATTTATTCACAGATGAAAAATGCTTTATTGATTTTTGAGGTGTTGGAGGTGAGGATTTTCATTATCACCATACCAGTGTCACAAAGATTCCCCCCAAAAGCTAATATTACTCTATATTAGTAGTTCCCAACCGTTTTTTTATGTGTCTCGCTGCTGGGAGCAGAGTGTAGTGACAGCGGCAGCCCAGGGGCGTGGGAGCTCCCGGCAGGTGGCACAGCTCATCTTTTCTGTGCAGCACCACTGGCATTGCCCCTGCGACCCTAATTTGGGTCGCAACCTGGGGTTGGGAACCACTGCTCTGGATATTGGATTAGATGACTTCCTGAGGCCCCCTTTGCTCCTAGTTTTCTGTGATTCTGTATACATTGCATTTTCTTTATGCCATATCTGATTTTCTAATCCAGTATTTTTAATGATGTGCAGAGGTGAATTATATGTCCATCCTTCAGTGTCAGCCACCCTACTGAGCTAAGAGCCAGTTCTGCCCAGTGAAGAGTATATTAATAGCGAACATGGATAAAGGGACTTTTAGCTGGCCTTTTTAAAATGAGAGTTATAAAAATAATATGTAGGAGCTGAGGGGAAAGTTGTGTTTCCACCCACAACAAGCAGAGGACCTATAATAGCTCTAAAGTGAAAGGACCAGTTCTAGCAGTTTATTAATTTTCTATGGTGAGGAAGTAACCAACTGACTAAGGAAACAGGTTTTCAAAGGCAGTATGTGCACTGCTGCACTTGTATATCCTTGATTTGGATATTTTTTTTAGGAACAAAAAGGTTTAGATCAAGGGCCACACATGCATGAATTCATTGTCCATGCTGCTTTTCTAGCCTTAATAAGAAATGAATATGGAAGATGAACAGAAAGATGACAAAATAAAATGTTACAGCAAAGTTGAAACCCACAATAACCTGACAACCTTCTTGCAGTATAGTAACATGGGATACGTATCTCATATGTTGCTTCCATTCTGATTTATATATCAGTCCTTGACAAATTCTGATAGATGACAACTGTATTTAGTTTCAGCATCTACACAGTAACCTCCAAAGAATATATTGGCATTGGTAACCACAATGAGAAGGAAGTAGCCTTTATATCCAGCTCCTATATTATTCATGTAAACAAGTGGATTATTCTATGGATATCTTTTCAAATTCAGGCGGCATTTCTCTGCATGCTGGGCTGTTTCAGAATTAAGTATTGTACTGCCTCTTGCCTGATTTAAAGCTGATCAAAAATTAAAACCAATTCTTCTTGTAAAACTTTAAAATATCAAAGTTACCTTAATATCAAAATGTTTGATACTCGCTTTTTTTTTAATATTTGGGGGTTTATGTTTCTCAAAAGCATAAGGGAAAAATTAACAAACTACTTGTCAAAATGTTTTATTTACCAAAAAATTGTAATATATTTTGCCATATTTGCGTAAATCTTTAGGCAGAGGCCAAGAAAGAACAGTACTTGAAGTTCTTTCCATGTTCTTATTAGGTTTAGTAGTCTCACTACCTCCATTAAATTTTCAAGTCAGTTTAATCATACTAGCCTCTGCCACAGTTTACAGGGTTTTTTGTCTTTTAGCTACCACTTGTCAATAATAATCTAGTACAGGCTCCAGGGTCTGTACGCACCATATGCCAGTGCTGCAGGGAGTTTCTGTAAGTGATAAAAAAGGTCACTCACAGTAAATACCTACCATCTGCTCAGAAACTACATGGATAACAGTCTCATGATGATAGGAGCAATCTGAAATATTCCCACAGAGCAGTAAATTGTTACTCAGAATAGGTGATTTATTATTTTACACGTCATTTACTAAACAGGCTTTGCTGAAGCAAGAGATTCATTTCTGCCAGGAATGATACTAAAATTGAAGATAAGAATTGAGTGAACCAAGGAAGGAATTATTTTGAATCAAAAACTGCTTTCATTCAGGCAATGTTACATGTGAATATTATTCTATTTGTCTATTAATTCTAAAAATAATGCATCTCACAGTGCTTAACAAGTAAACACCTAATTCAGAAAAATCATTACAAGACAGAGAGAGAACTGATAAGTCTGCTTGCTTGGCTGCTGTAGCAGAAGCTGCTGCACTCATTGAGAGATAAACATAATGGAACACATTGGGCACATCTACACGTTGCCTTATGTCACTTACGTCACTGTGCTGCATGGCACGGTGACATAGCAGTCATGTGAGTCTACACGTGATCAGCAGCTACATTGCCATAGCAGCACACTCTTCCATTTTAGCACACTGCTATGGCAACATAGCGGGAAAATCTAACCATGTGCCACACACACAGTGCAGTACGAGCGGTTACTACGCAGTACTACTGAGATGTTCCTTTTGCAAGTACTAAAGCATGGTGATGTGTATACACACCCATTTAGTCCTAAAGAGAAGTTGCCAGTTCATCTGCATCTAAGAAACCATGTCTGGAATACAGATTAAAATAGCCTTAAATTAAATCATGAATCTGCTCCTGTTGTCACATTTGCATAGTACTACACTGCATATTAAATTCTCATGACACTGCATATCACGTTTGGATTCATACACTAGCTTGCACTGTATTGTAATGTAAACAGACTTCCTAGGAACTGAAAACGGTGGAAACAATGTAGAGATAGCAAGCTCAGAACCTGGCATAGAAGAGCTTCATTTTTTGTCCTAGTGTCACCTAATAGGTGAAGTTGGAACACCACTGATGCAGTTCAAAGTGAGTTTTTCTTATACTTCCCAAGTAAGAAACTGTTGTTGATTAAAATGGGAGAGAGAGAATCCTTCCCCTAATACTACGTATAATGGAAAGAGAGTCAAATAATCTTGTATTGTGGCATCAAGATAAGGCTGAAAGTGGGCCGTCTCAAGTCATGGTATTTCTTTCATTCTTTGGTGGGTGTACACCAATGTAATTTATTTAAATTCTTCCTCAAACAGGAAATTATAAAATGCTAGTTTTACATTGCTTATAGTTTCTTTGCCTGTGTTCCTCAGAGATAAGTCAATCTCATAAGAACACCATAAATCAAAATGTATGAGACATTTTCCTGTTAAGTGATGAAGAGGAAGTCAGAAATATGCCAAAAGTCTAGCTAATCTGACAGAAATTTCACCTTCACAAATTGCTGCTCATTTCTTGGTTATTTTTATGTTATTGCTTCCAAAGAGGCACACTAAAAATAGATATGTTGTTTGCTTATACTTGCTAATATGGACATATCAGATTATTGATTTAGCAGTCTTTTTGTTATAACATAATGTAAGAGTAATTTAGCAGTAGCTTGGTAGAATAATAATAGAGACAAGGTTCATTAGTGAAAATATGTCTGACATCTGCTTTGAATACTGCTTTGTGGCTCAGCACCTGTCACTATTTGGGTTATGAACATTAGTTTCTCATCTGAACCTTATGATATTTGATAAACAATGTGGCGATAATCTGGTTTCTGTACACTAAGAAGCTGCTCCAAGAGAGGCAAGTTTCCATTACTGCATCCTCTATTATATTTCTTATAGTTAATTGCTTATGAAGCAAGATTTTATTCTTACCTTTAAAAAACTGAGAGAAGAAATAATGGTCTCACATGATCTAGCTAAAACAGCAGTTGAAATATTTTTATCATAATCCAATACATTTGGTTTTCTTTATTCTACTGTGCAGATGTAGGACAGCACCATAAAATATTGAGCTGCTAGACTTTTTGACTAACAGATATATTGTAGCTGGACAACTCTCTTTTACCTAAGCCTTTTCTAGTAGGGCCAAACATGGGTTTGCTATTGAAGGAAATGTTGAAATCCCTGAAATGCAGTAAAAAGAGGGAAAGGTTAAAGTTTTCTTTGAAGGTCATTTATGAAAAACAAATTGTCTGAGGGTATGGAAGACACACCCTGCTATGTCTTACAAAGGGTAGGATAGTTTCATAAGTAAATATTATATAACAAGTATTACAATAAATGTTTACATAGGTATATGTCAATGCCAATTTAATGATCTTTACAAGTAAACAAATAGATTATCCCAGTAACCTCTGTATTTAAGGATAAAGGGTCAAATATACTCCATTGCAGAGAATGAAAAGAAGACATATGGTTTCAATACACCATTCTTCCTACACTGCTTCAGTTCTACCTAAGCTTCTTTTGAGAGAATAAAAAGTATGCAGGCATTTTGGCCTTATGCTGTTTCTCTGCACATGGTTGAAATTCACCTTAGCAAATCAACGTCAAGTGGTCATGTTGTGAGCTAAGACCATTACATGTCAAACTGAATGAATCTGAGCTCTTTGAAATCAAAATTATTGAACCTAATGGCAGCAATTTGAAAGGCAAAGTCTGGCTCTTAAAAAAATAAAATAAAAAATATAGGTAAACTTTTATTTTCTCCATTATAATAATTTTTCTTGTTCATATTAATACAGATGGGCCTTATGGACTTACAGTTAATTCAGATAAAGGCCTGAAAGTCGGAGAGGTGTTTACGGTTGATGTAGGAGAAGATATTCTTTTTGATTGCTCAGCAGATTCCAATCCACCAAATACTTATTCATGGATTCAAAGGGCTGATAATGCCACCTATGTTATCAAATATGGCCCCCATCTGGAAATTCCATCGGGTAAAGTGACCCAGAGGACAATAGATTATATGTGCTGTGCTTACAATAACGTGACTGGGAAACGAGATGAAACTCATTTTACAGTGATAATTACTTCTGTGGGTAAGTACATTGAATATATAAAATGCCAAATCCAAGATGAATATAGCATATAAATGTAGCGTTCACATCAGGGGAACAAATCAACTGGACTGCTAGTTAATGAATAGCTAATACACCATCCTGATACATTGAAATTCCTTCTTTTTAGAAATACTTGAGAAGCTGAAATCTTAGCATTAATCAGGTAGAAAGGATTTTGCTATTTATTTCAATATATCATGTAATGCACAAGATTACTGTATAATGCACTTGAGTCCATATCCTTTAAGGCAGTGGTTTTTAAACTATGTTCTGTGGAACCCTGGGGACCCATGATAGGTCATCAGGGGTTCTGCAAAAAGAGATTGGGGGTAATGGTAGAGCAGGCCAGGAGGCAGTGCTCTGCCATAGCTGGGTTTGGTTGCCTGACCCCTATCAGTCTTCAGGATAGGGGTAGGGAGTCCAGAGCAGAAGTGGTACAAAGGTTTCAGTGACTTTAGAAGTTTGGAAAACACTGCTTTACAGTCTTAAGAAACCTAATTCCCAGTGAAGGAGGATCTGGGCCTTTGCCCCCTGAGCAAAGACACAACATTGCTTGCCAGCACTACCTTGCAATAACCAATTAATGAAGAATTGAATTTTTTTGCCTTCTCTGAATTTTCTGTAAGAATAGAAAAAACAGTGATGGCAGAAAGAGCATTATAATTACAATGAACCCTGAACTGGGACCTCAAACTGAATATCTATGGATGGCACCCAGACTCTGTTCAAAAACACATTCTCTCTCTCTCTCTCTCTCTCTCTCTCTCTCTCTCTCTCTTTAATCATGAATTGTAAGTGCTGTAGAGGCAGAATGGCCATCAAACATTATGAACAAGATGGTGCAATTATGACTAGAATGACCAATAAAATGACCAGGAAATATGGGCTACATTAAAAAAAAAAACAAAAAAAAACCCCCTCAGCACTTTAAACTCTGTATGCTCCCATGCTGAGCCCAGCACATGCCAGCAGAGCCAGCACGTTAGTTGGACCCAGCTTGCCTGATGTCTGTATAGATCAAGTGCTTTAGTGAGGGGTTTTGGCACTTTTATGTAATAGCTAATTGAATCAACTTTAGAAAAAAGCACCAAAAAGCCCTGCTGAAGCACCTGATCTGTACAGATGCTGTAAAGCTGGGCTGAAGTAACACGCTGCTTCTTCCTGTAAAATACAGTTTTGTTTTGTTTTTAAAATCTGCAGGCCTCCTTAAAATTTGCTGTTGGAATGAGGGTATTAATTTCGTGTGTGCTGATTACCATCTTTGCAGTGCTAAAAAACTGATGGTTTCAATGGTTTCTGAAGACACCTGAGAGACAGAAAGTACACAGAAACCAGTATCAGTGATTGGAAGCTGGTTCAAATCTGTAAGACAACAGAAATTCAGTGCACATGAACTGCTTTCAAAATGGCCAAAACCAGTTTAAGTTAACCTTGATGGATGTGGTATCAGACTAACTGATTTAGGTTAAATCGGTTTATTGAACTTCTGTCTCAGATCCTCTCCAGATTCAAGTTAGTTCACAGTCCCCCAGCATCCCAGGATGCTTTGCACCTCCCCTGGAATCCCTCCCCACCCCCCTTAGGTTGGGTAGGCTAGCCTTGGCCCAAGCTGTCTGCTCCAGATGAGCAGGGAGGCAGCTTCTGGTGTGGGCCAGTGCAGACATGTTGCTGCATTTCCAGAATCAAAAGTGAATGCCTGTTCACTAGCTTATCAGTTCAGTCTACACAGCTTAACCTAACCTGTGAAGAGTGAATTGATTCAGCCTTGGGATTCTGACTGCCTGTACTTACTTAGCCACGTAGATGTAATTTTTCTTTCAGGTGGTCGTGTGCAAGTTTTTTGCAAGGTACACAGAAATTCATCTTTACTTTCAGTTTGCGACAGATTTATATCCTGTCCTACATTATGCCAAAACTAAAAAAACACAAAGAAATTCTTTCAGAAAATTTCCAGAAAAAACAGCAGGTTTTTGCTGCAATTTAACGTTTCTCTCTAATGTCTCTTTATGACTAATTAGAAAAACATATTGTATGAGTAGTTAATAATTTTTAACTAATTACTAAAGATCAATATTTTTTTCAGATAATGTGGTCAGGTTATTAACGTACAATACAATGTGAGACTGTTGCCTTTTAGAAAGTTTAACAACCCTGTTTTGCTTGTACAGGACAAAGAGCTCAGACATTTATAATTAAGATAAACAAGGGCAGCAGGTGCCTATTGTTCAGATGGATTTAATGCAATCATCACAGATGAAGGCTCCATGGTTTCAAACAGCCCACAAGGAAAATAAGTTAAAATGTTACCATAAAGGTTTAAAAATAAAAACCTTGTAATGACTTAAAAGGGAAAATGAAAACAGAGCTATTGTATTCCATTAGAAATAGAAATGACATTTTTCCTGCTAGTGAAAGAAAACCCTGACACCTGAAATGTGTAGTGAATGCTCTTACTATAATAAGCAACCATTTTCAGATGTTTTTGAAACATGAACAGTCCATATGATTCATATTTTATGTTTAGTTGTACCTAAAACATTAAAAATAAATGTGTATATTTCCTGATTTAAAATATGTTATTAAATTACTTCATAAATTTTTAAAAAGACAATTTAGAGGCAGTGTATTCCATTTTTTTAAATAGAAGCTATCTAGATTTTCCTATACTATACAATTTTCCTATTTCAAAAGATTCATTTGTCTAATACCAGCCATCATTCTCCATTCCTTAATTCAGATAAAACTCCTATTAACATCAATGAAAATTTTGTTTTAGTGCAGGACTGAAGTTTAAATATAAGAATACCCAATGAATTTGATGCACAGGATCTCACTCAGAAGTTCCTACTCAGGCTAAGCTCCTACTGGGATCAATGGGAGTTGTGATGGATTAAGGTCTAAGCAAGTACTTTGGCTGGTATGGCTGTGCCCCTCCTATCCCATTTTTCAAGGTAGTGAGTCTGGGCAAAGATTTTCACAGCCCTAAACAATGAGTTTATGGGTTTCAGAAAACCTTATCCAGCTTGTCTGCACCAAATGCCAAAATTCAGCCATATGATGCTATACATATATGTCCAGTTAGGATCGGGAAACCTAAAAAAGAAAACAGTTATAAACAGTTCAGCAGTTCCACTATACTGCTCTCCCTTTAGCCAAGGCAAGTTGGGGCATGGGCACAGAACTAACTTGCTGTCAGGCAGCAGCATTTAAAAAAGGTAGATGAGTAAGGGCACTAGCCCTGGGTACTGACTTACTGTTCATGCACCTGGCTGCTCTGCTAGGTAGTTTCAGCCTCATGCAGCAACACAGCAGCCAAGTGTATGGACATCATAGCAGCTACAGGCAGCAGCTCTTTGGCTCTCAGAACCCCCACAAGATGCAGGGGTTTTGTCCAGGATGCAAAACTTGTTAGTTATGCCTCTGCTATGGGGTCAAATGGTAAGGGGGCTTATAGTTTGTCAGCTACTCTTGTGATAACTACCATATTTACTCACATACCACATACACCTTTTCCCCAAAACTCAGCTTTCCAAAATGGGTACATGCGTTAAGCAAGGAAGCCAATTTTTCTTTACTGGAATAGAAGCAACCATGGAGACACTGCTGTAAGATGACTGCCAGCCTCAGGAAGGGACAAGACAGAGTTCACCCTTCAGGGTCAGAGCTACAGTATTAACCATCTCACAGCCACAGCTGCTGCAGTCAGCATTCAGCCATGACAGGAAACATCCTTTTTATTCCAGTCTGCCTTCCCAAAATAAGGTGTGTGTCTTATTTGAGGTCAGTAGCAATGGTACTTTTATTCCAGAGTAAATGAAGCCTAACATATAACAGGGAAAGCAAGGTTAAACTACCACAGTTTGGGTTTCATCTACTTCATAGTAAGAAGTACAAAGGCAGTTACTGTGCAGCAACTGACACACTGGAAATGTCGGCACTGGATTTATGACCCAAATACTTTGTTCCAGGACAACCCAAAACCATCAGACCAACCATGATCTCTCCATTCGATAATAGGTGAATTTACTGATACACAGTGATAGCAAATAAGAATATTGCAAACAATTCTATATCTACCAGTCCTAGAGCCGTCATCAGAGTCAAGGTACGTCTGGCCAGTGCATGAGCTTTTCCCTTAGGATCTCTCTTGAATGTCAGATGTCAGTAGCCTGGAGGTCAGATGCCAAGACCCTGCCCACCCCCACCCCCCCAGTGGGGTGGCTGAGATGGGCTGGTGGTATGCCCTCTGCCAAGGCGGTCTCGGGTTCCCCTATCAGGGACCCTTAGCTGCTCTGAAATTCCTCTTTTTGTATTCTTTCTACCACTCTGATGACTATTCATTCCTGGGCATCATGGATTGGTTTCCCTGCGGTGGTCATACTGTCCATGTTATGTCCTGTCAGCATATTCCTTTGTGTCACAAACCCATCACATGCACACATGAACTGGTACCAATGCTGCAAAGTCCCTTATCTATGCTATGGAACAGTGTGGTACATGTCTTCAATTTCCCAGCCTGTGTGTCTGCTTGTGGTGTGCCTGTGTCAGACACAGTGGGCCTTGAAGGAAACTTTGTCACAAACAGGCTTTTAGAAATCAGTTAAGCCTTGCCATTTCCCCTAGACCATTGTTCTAATGCAATATCTACTTTACCTACAAACCAATTCCCAAAAGTAAACCTCTAAGAACCATTTTCAAGCCATCAATACCCTCCATGAAGATCTTACACTTTCACATCATAAATGGAGCATAATCAAGGAAATTACCTAGAATGCTCATGAGATTTGTGGGGACGACCTCCACCAGTTGTCCTGGGAAAAGTATGATGGCATTCATGATCAGGGGCTCCAATGGGCTGGACACTGTGATGAACCCTTAATCATTGTCCAAATGTCACCCATACCCCTTTGACTCAGTATTTTGCCTCAGTATTCCCTAATCCGGCAACCAAGTTTTAGCCAATAAAGTTTAAACAGGCC